GGATATGCACCACTTTGCGGATGTCTAGTGGTGTCTCACGACTGCCTTTGCCAGATCCGAATGCCGAGCTACGGACGGCAATTAAGCTAAACTCAAATTGTACGCTTGTACTATCATTTTCTCATACCTGTTGTTCTACTTGTCAACATGTCCGAGTACACCAACACTATTACGGCGTGTGATTGCATTTAGTACAACGCACATTAGTCTGATGGAAAATGTGCAACGATAGTGGCGTGAAAAGTAAACCCCGAAAAAGACAAGAGAGAGGCAATGGCATCTGAAATCTCTATCCTATGGTTTCGCCCGTCCCCAGAACATAAAGCACTCCGAAAACCCCGGGCTTTGACCCCAGGATCTTCTTAACATAATTACTTTGCCTCCATACGCACTCCTAAATCGTCGTAAAAGTCCCATAAGCAGGGCTGGGGAAAAATATATTTAAATTAATTTTAGCTTGTCAATATATAATTTCAATATATTGTCGTTCGGAAGAACAATTCATAATTTTATTGAAATTTGAACAACCGAAAAATTCAATATTTCTGAGTATTAATATTCGAACTCATCGAACTCGTCATCGTCACCCTTCATCCTCTTCGTCAGGACTTGTGTCGTCAGCACGGTGGCGAAGAAGTTCAAGCACGGCAGATTCGAAATGATACTTGGCACATTGTTGGGTAGTGGAGCCATTTCCATTGGTAGCATGGTACATTTCAAAGGGTGCTGCGGCACGACGTGTCAATTCTATTGGCCACAAGGCCAAATGAATGGACACATCGCCCTTTCGAATGATCGCCAAGCCAAGAACGTTGAAAATAGTCCCAAGTCAATAGAAAAAAGGTGTAGTAGCTAAGTGTCCACCTACTAATATGTAGATCTATCTGATAGACATCATTTACATTTACAGTTAGTTACTTGAGTTTCACTTGCAAATAATAAACTAGTGAGTTAACAGAACAACACTGCAGGAAGGTGCTATACAATTCAAGACCCTGCTTGATGCTAGCAGTTGTAAGTACACGCGACGTTGATGTCATTCTGCAGCTTCCACAGTGTAGCTACGATATCTGTAGCTTCCTCAGTTTACTGTAAGTAGCTACGTTACGTAATTTAATTAATACAATCGTAACGGAGAGATGTCGCATTTGTACTTACCGAACGGATTAACTTGAATTCAGAGGAATATATCAGAAACTCCGTCATTTCGGAAATGTGCTTGTCTTTGATTCGAAATATAACGTTAACGTTAGTCGCATGTTTGAACAAAGTCTTCACAGTCAACGAAATAACATCGTTTCTCCTCAGTACTGTACTGTAGCATACTACTGATTTTCCTCTTCTTTGGAAACGGGTTAAATCTCATAATTTCTATAAAAAAATATTTGTGAAGTATTGAAGGCTATTCAAAAATTCAAATACTACACTGTAGTACTGTACTGAGTACTTTGGACTTAAAAGATGAAGCTGCGAATGACTCTGGCCGACAAGCATGAATTGTACCAAGAACATGTGCGCAATGTATGCTGAGCTGGCCCAATAGACCTCTAGACCAAAGACGTTATATTTGGCCGCGTACCAATTTAAACTACACCTTTTCCCGATCAAAGTGCCAATTTATTCCAATCAAAGTGGTTTTGATAAAAATATAGATTTTAACAAGGTTTCCGAAGTGGATAATTTCGGATCAATGTGGTTTTTCTTCCAATCAAAGAGGTTAGTTTTACCGCGAAGAAGGAGCGTGAAATCAAATGACTTCACAGTCAGTGCTTCCACGTCACGTTTTGTCATAGACCATGAGGACTCGAAGCAAGCAAAAGGGCCCCACGGATGCCGAGAAGATGCGTGTCCTCGTTGCGCACGAGCAAGGTGAAGACTCGAGGGTGGTCGCCAAGCACAATAGCGTAGCCATGACAACCGTACGCCGCGTCATTAACAAGGGTAATGTCAACAATCTGCCGCGTGGAGGAACACGCCTGGGACGTACGAAAGTGACACCAGCGATCCGAGAGGCATTAGAGAGATATGTGGACAATAACTGCACGTACACCCTGACCGCCACGAAGCATTTCATTGCCAACGACTTCCCCGGAACCGACCTGTCCCTGTAAACCATCAGTCAACCGACACCTGGTGGGAATGCTGTACACCATCAAAGCTGTGCGTATCGAGCCAGTGACATGCAACAACGAAGCCAACAAGCCAAAGCGAAAGACGTTTGTGGACACCCTTTTTTGCAACATCAGCAATGCGTCGACTATATTGTATACTACGACGAAACCTCTACTGTCATCGCACCCTCAGACGTGTAAAGAAAGGCCAGCGAGAGACGTTTGTGTTTCCTCCATCAAGAGGGCCAAATCTTCAAGTGCAGTGTGCTATGTCGACCGAACAAGGACTTGTGTAAGGTGCACGTCATATATAAACTACCAACTTTTCACAAAAATGTCTGACTTCTATTTCGTATTCATTACTCAAAATTTCAGCAA